TGCGCCACGTGGGCCAATCAGGTCCTGCCAAGTGTCCCCCAGTTGGAACTGTCAGGGCTTGCCACGTGGCACACGCTTATTCGTCCACCTTGGACCTATTATGTCATGACACGTGGCATACTCCATGCCTAATGGAGAAACCGGCCACCCAGGCCCAACTTCCGAGGGAAGCCCAATCAGCCCTAGGTTGACCTAAACCTAGGATGTGCACGTTTCCCAAGGTTATAAATACCTCCCTTAATCCTCATTAAGGGAGATGACATGATTTACAGAGTTACAGGCTGATTACGCTAAAAAACTCACATTAAACACTCTCACCTAGAGAGACCCAATCACTTTAATTTCCGCATTAATTACTCCTTAATCAAGTACTAACTTGACCGTTGGAGGCGGAGCTCCCACCACCAGGAGTCTCCGTTGCGTCCGGTTCCAGTTTCGGAATTGTAACTCTCCCGCAGGACATCAGAAAACCCCGAAACAGGTAGTTTAAAGGCGAATTGGATGGTTCCATCTACCCAATTGGACTCACGAAGGGTATTAGGGACCATGTAAAACACTTCGTCAATTTTTATTTTCTGGCGAAAAAAAAGTCTAAAAAATTCCAAAATTGAAGTGTAGTATCCACGCTTTTTGAGAAGTTTTGGAGGTATCGGGGCCTGTTGACAAAAAGACTCGAGATTTTAGGGGATATATCTCGGCGTCATATAATGCCGTTTATAACCATATATAATCATTATATGTTGTCATAGATGATCGTGGTAGGCTTGAATTAATGAAATCGATGCAAATTGTAAATCGGGAAATTGGCCGTTTAAAGGCAAATTGGTTAGTTTCACCTACCCAATTGGACTTCCACAGAGGGACCATGGTAAATATTTCGACAATTTTTATTTTCGGGCAAAAAAAAAGTCAAAAAAATTCAAAAATTGAAGGCTATTATCTACGTTTTTTGAGAAATTTGGAGTATTCGGGGCCCGGTGTCTTAAAAGTATTGAAATTCTATGGAATACATCTCGTGGTCATATAATGTCGTTTGGACCCATATATGATCATTATTTGTTGTAATAAATGTTCGTGGTAGGCTTGAGTTAATGAAACCGGTGCAAGTTGTAAACCTGGTTGTTTAAAGGAAAATTGGATGGTTCCACCCACCCAATTGGACTACCTGGGGGTATTAGGGCCATGTTAAACATTTCGGAAATTTTTATTTTTGTGTGAAAAAAAGTCAAAAAATTCCAAAATTGAAGGCTAATATCCATGTTTTTTTAGAAATTTCGAAGGTTTTGGGTCCCGGTGTCGAAAAGAAATAAGATTTTAGAGATACAACTTGGTGTCATGTAATGCCGTTTGGAACCATAAATGATCATTATATATTGTGGTAAATGTTTGTGGTAGGTTTGATTTAAAGAAATCGGTGCAAACTGTAAACCTGTTAATAGGCCGTTTAAAGGCAAATTGGATGGTTCCACCCATCCAATTGGACTCCCGAAGGATATTAGGGACCATGGTAAATATTTCGGCAATTTTTATTTCCGGGCGAATAAAAGTCAAAAAATTCCTAAATTGAAAGCTAATATCCACGTTTTTCGACAAATTTTTGAAGTTTTGGGGCCCGGTGTTTAAAAGGCTTGAGATGTTATGGGATACATCTCGGGGTCATATAATGCCGTTTGGAACCATATATGATCATTATATGTTGTCATTAATGTTCGTGGTAGGCTTGAATTAATGAAATCGGTACAAGTTGTAATTCGGTAAATTGGTCGTTTATTGACAAATTGGATGGTTCCACCCACCCAATTGGACCCCCCCGAGGGTATAAGGGACCATGGTAAACATTTTAGCAATTTTTATTTTTGGGCGAAAAAAAGTCAAAAAATTCCAAAATTGAAGGCTAATATCCACACTTTTTGAGAAATTCTGGAGGTTTTGGGGCCCGGTGTCGAAAAGTCTTGAAATTCTAGAGGATATATCTCGCGGTTATATAATGCCATTTGGAACCATATATGATCATTATTTGTTGTCATAAATGTTCTTGATTTATTGTGTTTTCAAGTGGTCTACTTCTAAAAATGATACCCTTAATTTCTTTTAGAAGATAAGACTGCATTTTTTTTAATCAATTTGCCCAGAATTGATCTTTTTAATCTGTTTGCATTCTCTAACCACATTCTTACTTGCATAAATTAATGTTCTAGCTACTAATCCTTGTATTTTTGGACACATTATTCAGCTACTTAGTGAAGATCAGCCTAGAAAAGAGTTCAATGAAGTGGAATGGTTGCTTGATCACCCTCCTCATGTAAGCAAATTTATCTTTAGTGATTGTTTAGTTTTGGCCCTAATTTACTCTGTTGATATCCATCTGCATTCTCATTTCCTGTAGCATACACTTGTCTATCCGCCATTGTTAGTGCTGTTTGAATTCCTCTGTAGGATTGTAGAGTGAATGAATTATATGTGTAATTTTCTGATCTCAGAACTGAATCCTTTAGGAATTTTGAAAATGTTGTGTCACGCTGTTACATTGTACAGAACTTGGTGATCCCTGTCCTCAACTCCCATCTCCCAAGACCAGCACATCGAAAAAGAGGGAGTGGTAATTGCTATAGGTGTTGGGAGTCTTGGGAAATCCATAGTTAATTGATGACCATGTGCTGATTCAATTATTTTTTGTTATTTTATTCTTGTCAAATGCTAGCTTAGTTATACTTGGTCCAGTTATTTTCTGCCATTCTATACCAATTACATGAGATTTGTTTTGAATGCCAATTATGAATCTTATCATTAAGCTCAATGCTTCTGTAGCAATGCATATCTTCTAATGGCACAGCACTGTTTTAAGGGACTGAAAAACGGGAAGTTTACTCTTTCTCTTCATTTCCTTAGTTTGGTTGTAAGTGCTTCACCTATAATTACCCTGATAATCAAGCAGAAACCGGGTGTCCTTGATAACACAAACTCACAAAGTGCTCATATTCTATAATTGTTGATGGCCTTTCACCTTTGGTAGTCTTAACCTTTACATAGCAGAATTCACTTGTATTTGATCTTTTTTTTTTTTTTTGCTGGAGATGCCTTCACTGATTAATTTGTCATATGCCACAAAGGTACTCATTCCAGTGGCAAATGGATCTGATGAAACAGAGGTTGTGACCATAGTTGACATTCTTAGAAGAGCAAAAGTAAATGTTGTGGTTGCTTCAGTTGAAAAGTCCCTGCAAATTCTGGCATCTCATGGAACCAATATTATTGCAGACAAGCTTATTGATGTAGCTTCTGAGTTCATTTATGACTTGATTGTTCTTCCGGTGAGAACTGTTTCCTTTATTCTCAACTCTAATAGAATACTACATGTCTTGGATTTCTCAGACTTAACAAAGTAATGGCTCATTTCTGTTAAGACGCTTGTTTTGTGGTTAGAAAATGAGTTTGATATCAATAGCAGGTGTGTGTGACTGAATAGTGGGCAAAAATATAAAAGAGCTATACGATATCAGGGACATAAGTTGCACAATTGGACATGGCAATTGGCAAGTGCATGCAGGTGTTTTAATATTGTGCTCATAATTGCTAAATTATTAGTCGGCAAAAGAAAACTGAATGAAAATAGTATCAGGGTGTTGGGGGGGGGGGGTGTTGGGTGTGTGTGTGGTGGTTGCAAGTGTCTTATCTTTTTACGTGAATTTCTGACCCACCTAATACTTCGTATAATGGTTTTCGTAATTTACAGGGTGGCCTCAATGGGGTTAAGAGGCTAAGTAAGTCAAAGGTTCTTAAGAAGCTACTTAAAGAACAGAAATCTGCCGGCAGAATGTATGGAGCTATATGCTCCTCTCTGACACTCCTGCATAAACAAGGGCTGCTCAAGGTAAGTGCTAGTTCTTTCTGATCTGGTATGTGCTTTTACATCTGTCTGCTGCATTGGTGAAAAAGAGAAAAGAGAGGGTGGTGTTTTATTTATTTACTACTTCGTATTACTCTAAGAGATGGTACTTGACTCAATTTCATGATGGTGAATATAGGATAAGAAAATAGTTGCTCATCCCTCCTTATCAGATGAACTAAAAATCGAGATGGTTGATGGTGCCAAGGTAGTGATTGATGGGAAGCTTATTACGTCCAAGGGACTAATTACTGCAACTGACTTTGCCCTTGCTATTGTGAGCAAGCTTTTCGGACATGCCAGGGCAAGAAGTGTAGCAGAAGGTCTTGTTTTTGAATACCCAAGGAGCTAACCAGTAACTAATGACAAGACTGTAGTTCTGTCCTATGGTCATGGCAGAGCTTAGTGCTCGGTAGATCATGCACGAATCATTGGAAAAGCAGAAAAAGCATACCTACCCTTGACAGGTTTGAGGTAGTCAGGTAACTCTTCATGATACCAACTGATTGAAAAAGATGTTGGTCGTAAAATGACTAATTGCTTTGTAATATATGCAGATCTTTGGCTGCATTAACTTTTGAAGACCTCAACTGATGTTTGCCATTTTTAGATGGTAGACCAGCACCCAGTTTGCTGTCTCCTGATTCAATTTTTCCATGATGTCAGAGTGCTATGGTTGAGGTGTTGATAGGAATCATTCGCAAGCAAGAGGTTGCATTGGTTAAGCTTTAGTTAATTGAGTGCTGCTTATAGTGATGATATTGTCACTACAATAATTTAACTTAAACTAGTACGTGTAATTTTGGTAAAATTATCTTGGAATAGAATGTAAAGCAATTGAATTTTCTGTGTTGTTTTAACTTGTGAACGCAGGAAAAACATTTTTCTCCAAAATCACCAATGTTTCACCGTTTCCGTTCAATATAGCTAAAGACTGAAATAAAGATTGTTAATTAACTGAATGCAATATTAAGAAGATGCCAAGTTAGCATTCCTTCAGAGGAATGTGGTTGAAAATTACCGTACAATTTATCATAACTTGAAAATGCAAGCTTGGTTAAAAGGGTTCTTCCCATGAAATCAACAATGCGAGTGACCAGAAGCCCTTGTCAGAATGCATGCGAAAATTCAGGAATTATATATACATCAGAGGAAGAGCAAAAGCTTAAGATACAGTTTATTTTAATAAAAAAGGCGACTGTTGATAAATCTTTTAAACAATTACAAGAAGTAATTGACAATAATTCTCTATGTCAATATTTACAACTTAAGTTCAAAATCCTTTTCCATGAAAGGGAAGATGACCCTGCAATATTAAGTAGAATCAGCTGAAGAAATCTTCAGGGCCACTGTCATCATCTCCTCCATCATCAGATGAATCACCATTGCGCCTGCTCAGAGACAGTATAAGTTCCATGAAATCTTGTCCAGAACCAGAATTACCGCTTTGCTCTGGTCTTGATAGGCGATTTTCCAGAGAAACTAATTGCAAAAGCAGCTCCTGAGGCGAAGTCACATGATACATCCAGTCCCTTTGCCTTGGCCTCAACTGGAAATGGATTAAAAATTATTGTCATTAGTATCATTATCACCATCATTTAAACTATCATCGTTGTCAATATTTCTATCAGCATCCATATTAATTTCATCAACGTCATCCTCATCTTCATCATCATCATCATCATTACTATCCTCATCGTCGTCGTCAATATCATCCTCATCATCATCATAATAACAAAAATTAACCTCATCATACATTTCGTCATCATCCTCAGAGTCGCCATCGTCGTCATCATCATCAGATGATGAATCATCGTCATCATCATCATCGGAATCACCAAACTCAAAGATATAAGACCGATCACTTATCAAAACCTTTTCAGCAAAGCAATGCAGAGATAAATTAGACTACCTCCGCCACTTATCTGACATACCACAATGTCGTTAACGAGATTCTCACTGAGTCACTAGCAGGGTCATTAGAGTAATTTTGTACACAACTATATCTTGTAACCAACTAAGGCTATTTTCATTAACGTTTTTCATTAAAAAATACAAACTGCAATAACTATGAAAAGAGTACAATGTTTAATACCCCCTCCATCCCAAAATAAAAGTTTCATTACATTCAAAAATATTGTCCTCAATAGAAGTATCATTTCTACCCCCATATATATTTTATTTTTTTCAATTCACCAAACCCCACTATCTTCTACTTTATTCACTTTTAATCAACCAAATCCCACCTCTTGTTATATATATATTCACATTCCTAAAAACAAGTGCAAAAAGCATATGACACTATTTTTGGGAACGGAGGGAGTAGGAAATCTTATTTGGAATTTTTTTTCTCAGCATCACAGGAAGTATGTCAGCGTTCTTTTTCTGATTGATGTAGGAGGCATGTGGGTGGTGAGCCGTTGAAATTCCAAGCAAAACAAAACACCATGGCCATGGTAATACTAGGTAAAGTAGAAAAGACCTAATGGGTGGAGTTTTTAAAGGAGCAGTGCGTGTAGCGGAAAAATGGACATCTACATCATCTTGAAAAATACCTAAAAGGAAACCAATTAAGAATAATTTCTTTAAGAAAATTGTAATTCCAACGTTTTCAAATAGACTAGCAACTACTCTCTCCGTTCCTTTTCTATAGTTACTTTCCAAGTTAGAGTGCTCCCTTTCTTTGGTTACAATCTATTTTAAGTAAAAATTTAACACATTTACCCTCAAATTTACCTACTTCCAATGTAATTATCCTCGTTTACCATAATATTTACATAATCCCAAAGCAACTATTCTTATTTACCAAAATATTACTCCCAAAGCAGAAACTCCCATTTACCAAAACATTTCCATTTAACATACTCCCAAAGCATTTTTATAATATACGTCTTAACCTTAGAAAAGGAACAGAGAGAGTAAGACTTCATGTAATAAAAACAACACATACAACTATACAAGCACATGATTCCTTTCTTTCATTAGATTTTTTATGTACAACTCTGGAGCAGCACTAAGTTATTTGGTGTTGAGCATTAGAGTAGCTTGTCCCTTTCTGAAGCATATTAGATCGAGAACTAATGTACAAAAATGAATTTACTCCACAAGACCACAAGGATATTAACATTCAAAGAATCTAAGAGAAGAAATACCTCGTCTATGTTGGCAGGCAAAGTAGCTCTCTCCTCTGCCTTTGGAGTCCATATTTTGATGTCACTCTCAATTCCACTACTGGCAAGAACTGCAGTATGTGGATGTGCCGCAATGCAGTTAACCACGTGCTTATCAGCTTCCATGACACGAATGAGCTCTCCATCTTTCTTTCTCCAGATAAATATCCGGCCACAATCAGATCCACTTACCACATACTCATTTTTCGGCCCAAAGAAACCTACACCCTTGACTGTATCACGATTATGATGGCCCTTGAACACTAGGGGAACAGGCTTTTTTTCTGTATCCATGATGGATGTAACTGCCTCAGAAGAGTCATTACGGCCAGGTTCATCAATATCACTGCATGTTGACTCAGAAGATGATGGAGCAGTAGGAGGATTTGGTCCCCATCCCATATTTTTAGCGAAGAGATATATATGCTCGTGATCATAGGACACAAGAAGCTCACTTTGGTCAGAATACGCCAGACCTGTAATCCCTACTTGCGCATTACCAACCAGATGCTCAGGACAATAGAAGTTTATGGGCTGGTCAAAATCAGTTGAGCCATCCCACTTATATCTTCGAATATCATAAATCCGAGTATACTCATCAGACCCTCCAACTGCAAACAGATTAGGACTTCTAGGATCAATTGCAATAGTGTTTAGTTGCACAATTGTAAAGTCACTCCCCCACTTAGTATTTGAATGGCAGGTAAAAAGTTCTGTAGAAGCTTTAGTTCTCAGATCAAACTGCATCAACATAGAAATAAAAGATTCAGTGTTGGTGAAGGCAAGCTACGTTGCCTAAGAGCCCTAAATGAAAGGTGACAATGGGCTAAGTGAAAAATGTGAAGGTTATACAAGCTGTACACTGTACAGGGAAGTTGACCACAACATTAAATCCTTGATGCTTTAACTGCACTTACACTACAAACGCTCGCTTAACTCCCTCCCCCCCCCCCCCTCACACACACACACACACACACACACACAAACAAAATATTTGATAAAAAGAGACAGAATTCTAGTGAGATTCTACAGAGGGCAGCAGTAAAGAAAGGAAAAAAAAAAGGTGATAAAATATCCGGACAGCCAAAAAAAGTAAGAGAGACTTTTGTAACTTCCAAATATATAAGCATTGCCAGGAAACTAACTTTACATTCTATGCTGCACTTTTAATAGCCTATGCATTGTTTTTAAATGTGCTCTTCAGAAATCAAAGTTTTGACATATAAGACTAAACTAAAAGCCATTGCTTAGTGCCTGTGCAGTAACAAGTGTATTAAATTTAAAAACTTTCTTTTGCAAGGGTGGGTGTGGGGCTGGGGAGAAAGACAAAAGTCAAAGGAAGAGATGGAGTGAAGTACATGTTGAACAATTCCATCTTCACCGCAAGTATAAAAAATGTGAGGGCTCCCAGGTTCAATAGCCAACTTATGAGCTCGGCCTTGATGCCTACCAAGCAAAGAGGTCTCTACACGCCCACCTTCAAGAATTTGTGCATGTCTAACCTGAAAGCATAAGTTTATTGCAAATAAGCAAACAAAAATCGCTGATGTCGAATTTCTAAAGCACAAGGTATAAGCAGGAAAGCAAAGCCAAATTCCCCAGATTAAATCAGTGAATTACAAAGATCAGCCTCATTCGGCTCATTGCAAACCAAATTCTTTAAAAAAAAAAAAAAAAAAAAAAAAAAAAAAAAAAAAAAAAAAAAAAACCTTATTAACTTCACAAACAACATTTAAAGAAAATAAAACACCCCCAAAAACAACCCCAAGGGAAATCATAACCTTTTGTGTGCCTCAGGTGTGAACAATAATATTACCGTTCAATGCTCTATATTAAGGTTTAAATATTACCGTTCAATGCCTCAGGTGTGAACAATAATAATATTGTGTGCCTCAGGTGTGAACAATAATATTACCGTTCAATGCTCTATATTAAGGTAACTTTTAACCATATTTGGCTTGCTTTGATAATCTTTGTACATTAGAAGTGATTTTAAAGAGTGATATGACTATCAGACTATTTATATTCATTCAGGAGAGATTTTAAGGGGCAATCTTTTGTAAAAAGAGCAACTTTGTCAGTAAAATATAGGTGACATTTATATTTTATCAGAATGACTTAGCATGGCAAGCATAATATATAAAATCATTTTTAGGGTACCTTTACTCCCGCTTTAAAAAAAATTTAATGTACACTCACCTTCTTTTAGAGTTTGGGGAGAAAAATACCTGTCCATCTGCTGCACAAGTAACAATGCTGCCATCCTCACTGAAAGGCATGAATTTCGCTTGAAACACATTATTATTATGACCAGAATGAAATGAGAGTTTGGCCTTGCCAACTTCCCAATCCCATAATATAACTCTCCTGTCATCAGAACCAGACACAAGAATTTCACCAGACGCGTTGAAGCTCACTGTATTTACACAGCCTCTATGCTTCTCCAACTTCCTCAAAATATCAAGTCTAAGGACAAAATCCTGGACCAGAAGCACAGTTTTAATGCGGCGAATCTAGTTAAAACATAACTACAAATCCAAAATATATATAGTGAAAATGCAACAATGAAACTTTATCAAACAAAGTAACAAAAATTAGGAAATTCTCATTTTACTACATAAGTTTAAGCAATATCCTACATTGGTTACAAAATCACATTGTACAATGCATCAATTCTTTTACAAACGCAGATGAACGAACTCGAACACGCACTGATTCTCATGATCTTACCTTAGTAAGGCAACATTTGCAATCTGAATACTTAATACATCAAATTCTTCAATAATTTTGTTCCAATTAACCAAATTTGTAACTTTAACAATGTTAATGCACCAACCAGTGATCAAGCTAACATAATCACTACTCTACTTTAATTTGATTGAGACACACTACTACACATCACTGAAAATTAAAGCCAAATTAAAAATCCAAAAAAAAAAAAAAAAAAAAAAAACACCAATTAATCAATGCATAAAAAAGATAAAAATACATAATCAACAGCAAGAAGAATTAGGGTTTTGGGAAGTAACCTCAGAAGCGGTAAGACGATGAGCGAAGCTTCTAGAAGAGAGTTGTCCGACCTCTCTTCGCCAAACATCCAAAATTGCTTTGTCATGCACACTTCTTGGCCTCTTCACACCCATTGATCAATGAATCAAATTGTAATTCTAATTCTAATTGTTCTTCGTTTAATCGAAAAAAGAATCAGAGAAATTTAATTGATTATATAGAGGAAAACCATAAAAAATTAGGGATAGAAATTCCTGGAATTATATGAAGAAGATGATCAAGGAGGATCTTGTTGAGAGTTTAAAGTTAAAAAAAGGGGTTTCTAGAGGTTGGCAGTACAATGCTTATGCCATTAGCCTGGTGCAACTGTGCAAGCACTGCTTTGGTTTAAAACTTTATAGAGCTACAAAGTTTGCAATTCTTATATACTTGTATTTATTTTGGTAGGTAACTTGAATTACCCTACCTATGCAAAACCTTTCACAAGTCGATAATAAGATATATTTACCAATAACAATAAGATAGTTTTATATTTATCAATAAAAGGGTTAATAGATTGTATGATTTGGCATTTTAGCATTTCATATGGATATGATATACTACTATACAATATACATAGGATTTTATTGCACTTTTTAAAATATTATCCTTTTAATTATTGAGTATTTATGTTGATAACTACTTCGTTTACTTTACTACGTGTTTTTATCAACTTAATTGAACATCGATGGTAAAAGGTGGGACTACCGTCTACATTAGAGCTGTCAAAAGCTAACCCGACCCAAATTTCGACTCAAAACCGATTATTAACCGACCCATCTGAACCCGAAAAAATGGTGACCCAAACCTGACTTGACCCGACCTGAAACCAACCCTAGACCCGAGTTGACCCGAGTATGTGAGACCCGAACCCAAACATGAATTGACCTGGAGATGACTTGACCCGAATGTAACTCGTAAATTTTTATTGACCTGAACCGAACCCGACTTGAACCAAAATTGACAAATCCGTTTTAACCCGTCAAAACCCGAATTTAACCCGATTTGTTATTAATCTGACCTGAATCTAACCCAACTCGTGCCTAACCTGACCCGAATTTAACCCAATCTGATACAAACCCGACCCGAAATCAACCCGACTTGATATTGACCTGACCAAATTCAACTCGACTTATTATTGACCCGACCCGAATTTTACCAGACCCATTACTAACCTGGCCCAAAAATTCAACCCGATCTGTTACCAAGCCCACTCGAAATCAACATAACTTGTTATTGACCCGGCCTAAATTCAACCCAAATTGTTCCTGACCCGTTTTCAAATCACCTTAAATGTAATTTAGACCACTTTATTATTGTTGATCAAAGCATTTTGTCTAGGAAGACCAAGTCGGTCCAGGCCAACAAAAAAAGGAGCATCATCCTCAAATTTAAGAGTTAAATATAGTATATATATGTCTTATGGTCAAAGTAGATAATTTTCTACCTAAATTATAGACTATAGTTCTCTAGTATATTGTCATATATATGTATATAGTCAAAGGAAATAATTAGCTTGATAAAAATGATAATTATCTATTTATAGTTAGTTGAACCCGAATATGACCTGACTTGGAAATGACCAGACCTGATTGTAACCTGCAAATTATTGACTTGAACATAACCCGACTTGAATCCGAGAATAACCCGACTTGAAAATGACCCAACCAGATTATAACCCGCAAATGAATGAATTATTGACTCGAACCGAACCCGACTTGAACCCGAGAATGACCCAACTTGAAAATGACCTGACTTGATTATATCCCGCAAATTATTGACTTGAACCGAACCCGACTCAAACACGAGAATGACCCGACCTGATTATAACCCGCAAATTATTGACTTGAATCGAACCCAACTCGAACCCGAGAATTACCCTAACCCGTTTTAACCCGTGAAAACCCGAATTAAATCCGACCTATTGTTCACCCGACCCGAATGTAACCTGGCCTGTTATTAACCAGACCCAAACCCGATAAGAAGTATTACCCGACATGACCCGACTAAAGCATGACCCAACCCAAACCCGACCCCCATAGGTTATGGAATTAATCCGAATTGACCCGACCATCTCTTACCAACTCAAACCCAACCCGTTTACCCGAATTGACAGCTCTAAAATTTCTCAAAAAGCGTGGATATTAGTCTTCAATTTTGGAATTTTTTGACTTTTTTCACCCGAAAATAAAAATGGGAGAAATGTTTATCATGGTCCCTAATACCATCCGGGAGTCCAATTGGCAGGGAGGAACCATCCAATTTGCCTTTAAACGACCAATTTACCGGTTTACAACTTGCACATATTTCATTAACTCAAGCCTACCACGAACATTTATGACAACAAATAATGATCATATATGGTTCCAAACGGCATTATATGACCCCGAGATGTATCCCCTATAATTTCAATACTTTTCAACACCGGGCCCCGAAACCTCCAAAATTTCTCAAAAAACGTGGATATTAGTCTTCCATTTTTTAATTTTTCGACTTTTTTTTCGCCCGGAAATAAAAATTGCCGAAATGTTTACCATTATCCCTAATATCCTCCGGGAGTCCAATTGAGTAGGTGGAACCATCCATTTTGCCTTTAAACGGCCAATTTACCGGTTTAAAAATTTCATGGATTTCATTAACTCAAGCATACTATGAACATTATGACAACATATAATGATCATATATGGTTCCAAACGGCATTATATGACCCCGAGATGTATCCCCTATAATTTCAAACGTTTTGACACCGGGCCTTGAAACCTCCAAAATTTCTCAAAAAACGTGGAAATAAAGATGTCTTCCATTTTTGAATTTTTCAACTTTTTTTCGCCCGGAAATAAAAATTTCCGAAATGTTTACCATGGTCCCTAATATCCTTCGAGAGTCCAATTGAGTAGGTGGAACCATCTAATTTGCCTTTAAACGGCCAAGTTACCGTTTTAAAAAATTTCATGGATTTCATTAACTCAAGCATACTATGAACATTTATGACAACATATAATGATCATATATGGTTCCAAACGACATTATATGACCCCGAGATGTATCCCCTATAATTTCAAGACGTTTTGACACCGGGCCCTGAAACCTCCAAAATTTCTCAAAAAACGTGAATATTAGTCTTCCATTTTTGAATTTTTCAACTTTTTTTCGCCCGGAAATAAAAATTGCCGAAATGTTTACCATAGTCCCTAATATCCTCCGGGAGTCCAATTGAGTAGGTGGAACCATCCAATTTGCCTTTAAACGGCCAATTTACCGGTTTAAAAATTTTCATGGATTTCATTCACTCAAGCATACTATGAACATTTATGACAACATATAATGATCATATATGGTTCCAAACGACATTATATGACCCCAAGATGTATCCCCTAAAATATTAAACTTTTCTACACTGGGCCGCGAAACCTCCAAAATTTTTACAAAAACATGGATATTAGCCTTCAATTTTGGCTTTTTTTTACTTTTTTTCGTCCGAAAATAAAAATTCCTGAAATATTTACCATGGATCCTAATACATTCTGGGAGTCCAATTGGGTGTGTAGAACCATCCAATTTGATGTTAAACGACCCATTTACCGGCTAACAACTTGCACCGATTTCATTAATTCAAGCCTACCACAAACATTTATGACAACAAATAATGATCTTATATGGTTCCAAACGGCATTATATGACCCCGAGATGTATCTTATAGAATTTCAATACGTTTCGACACCGGGCGACGAAACCTCCAAAATTTCTCAAAAAGCATGGATATTATTAGCCTTCTATTTTGGAATTTTTTGACTTTTTTTTGCCCGAAAATAAAAATTGTCGAAATATTTACCATGGTCCTTAACATCCTACAGGAGTCCAATTGGGTGTGTGGAACCATCCAATTTGCTGTTAAACAACCAATTTACCGGTTTACAACTTGCACCGATTTACCAGTTTACAACGACCAATTTCATTAGCTTGCACCGAACCCGACTTGAACCGAAATTGATCCTAACTCGTTTTAACCCGTTTAATCCCGAATTTAACCCGACTTGTTACTCACCTGACCTGAATTCAACCCGACCTGTTCCTAACCCGACCCGAATTTAACCCAACTTATTACAAACCTGACCCAAAATCAACCCGACTTGTTATTGACCAGACCCAAATTCAACCCGACTTGTTATTGACCCGACCCAAAAATTACCAGACCTATTAGTTACCCGACCTTAAAGTTCAATCCAATCTGTTACTAACCCGACTCGAAATTAACACGACTTGTTATTGGTCCGACCTAAATTCAACCCAAATTGTTTTGACCCGATTTCAAATCACATTAAATGCAATTTAGACCACTTTATTATTGTTGATCAAAGCATTTTGTCTAGGGAGACCAAGTCGGTGCAGGCCAACAAAAGAAAGGGGCATCATCCTCAAATTTAAGAGTTAAATATAGTATATATATGTCTTATGGTCAAAGTAGATAATTTTCTACCTAAATTATAGACTATAGTTCTCTAGTACATTGTCATATATATGTATATAGTCAAAGGAAATAATTAGCTTGATAAAAATGATAATTATCTATTTATAGTTAGTTGAACCCGAATATGACCTGACTTGGAAATGACCCGACCTGATTGTAACCTGCAAATTATTGACTTGAACATAACCCGACTTGAATCCGAGAATGACCCAACTTGGAAGTGACCCAACCTGATTATAACCCGCAAATTATTGACTTGAACCGAACCCGACTTGAACCCGAGAATGACCCGACTTGAAAATGACCCAACCTGATTATAATCCGCAAATTATTGACTTGAACCGAACCCGACTCAAACCCGAGAATGACCTGACCTGATTTTAACCCGCAAATTATTGACTTGAACCGAACCCGACTCGAATCTGAGAATTACTCTAACTCGTTTTAACCCGTGAAAACCCGAATTAAACCCGACCTATTGTTCACCCGACCCGAATGTAACCCGACATATTATTAACCCGACCGAAACCCGATAAGAAGTATGACCGGACGTGACCTGACTCAAGCATGACCCAACCCAAACCCGACCCGCATAGGTTATGGAGTTAATCCAAATTGACCCGACCCGAGTTGACCTGACCTACTCTTACCCGATCCAAACCCGATCTGTTTACCCAAATTGGCAGCTCTAGTCTACATTGCTTTGCATTTCTCAAAAGCTTTGATTTTAATACAATTTTAAAATCATAATAGAATATAATTTGATTCAATTTGTTAATCAAATAACCACTAACAAAATTGATCCCATAAGGTTTTTATTTTTATATTCATGTCCCCTGTTTGGACAAACCTATTCTACCATCTTTATTATAATTCTCTTAAAAAGGCCCAACACCCGTTTCCTTTGAATATCGAATAAAGATAATAAAAAAAAGACAATTAATAAACAAAGAAAAAGAAAAGATTAATTAATCTACAAATACTTTTGTATTTTACAAAACATAAATTACTTGAATCACGATATACAAATAAAAAATAAAAAAAAAAACAAATTATTATTTATGGTAGGCCACACAGTGTGGTCAGTCAAAACTCAAAACAGTATGCACAAGAAAGAAAAATGAGCAGAGGTGAATAAATGTTAAAACTTGAAGAATATATATTTGCCAATTCTGTAAAGGGACAAAACTCAAGTGTATTCTTGTGCAACGAGGATAAAATTTGAGTTATTTGAGCCATATAATATCCAAAATTTACATCATCATCATTTATAAAACTTAAAGAGTTTAAACTCCAGCTAATTACTTTGTCTTTTGTTTATATTTACATCATCAATGAGCAAAGTGACGCTCAACTCCTTCCGCCTCCATTGGAGCTTCTAGAGCAACTGTGTATGTGGCACCCAGATTTACTTGGGTGCTATGATTTTACTATCCTAATTCTAACCCTATTCTTATGGGAATCTCAGAAGACTTTTTTTTTTTTTTTTTTCCCCAAATGACTGCAACTTCTGTAGTCTGTCGCGCAGTAGCAGAGTCCTGTCATATACTTAGTATAAACACAGTAAGCAGATAACCAGAGGGTTAAAAAAAGATCAAAGATATGGAATGCTAATTTCTTGGCTGCTTTCAAGCCAAAAATTGTCAGAATTTGCATAAACTTACCTTAGTTTTTTTTCCCTACAATACAACAGTCTTCAGGTATAGCATGTGATAATTGATTGCAATACGATATGTACAAATCATGAGGAGCTCATCGGAGTATCTGCCTAGATTAAGAGATAAATGTCGAAACTATCCTGTCCCGACTACAGTTACACCTGCATTAGTGGTAAATTAAAGGTCAAATGTAATTTCATGAGAAGCCCAATTTTGATAATATGCCCAGAGCAGTCCTTGTTAGTGATAGGATTTTAGTAGGTTTTACCTTGATTTTAAGTAAACATGAAACACAATGTTGCTCTGGGCCTTTAGCAGCAAAATGAAACATGGAAACCTAAACTTTGATGATTTCAGATTTAATTGCTTATAAGTATCCAGGACGACTTTGGAGGCACACCAAAACACATCATATACTTTGTTGTAACTAATGATGAGAAAGATAGCATCATCTCTCAGCATGTGGTCACTCAAACCAATATCAAGCTCCATACTTGTATTAAACCTGAAATCACTAAAGATAACCTTACTTTGTGTCAGATAATCTACTTAAACAGTATATGATGAACAGAAGATAGCTCATATGCTTAATCAAAGAAACACTTAACTAGGCATAACTGTCCAGCTTTGAAAATAGTGCATTCTTTCACAATAAACACCAATTCATAGAATTCCAGCAGGCACAAATTTTGTCACTATTACTCGCAGCAAAATGAGTCACAGGAATTATCCAAGAAAGTAATTGCTCCTGTAAAAATACACCAATCTCAAACATGAACCATACACAGTATTTTCTAAGGATACAGGCAGGCACACATAGTTGTTAATAAAGCATACAAGCAGAAGAATGAAGTTGGATATTTGGCACCCCACAACTCGAGAAAAGCCGGGCCGGGGGTGGTGATCAAATGTTAATGTTGCATAGCAACAGGTCATACGTTAATGTTAATGTTGCATGACAGCAGGTCATATATTTGTCTGGGCATTCTAAATAGAAAGTATGAGCAATAATTATGTTCAGTGGCAGTATCATAATTTAGAGGGAAAAAATTGAGCTAAAATACCTCAAGGATCAGTAGACTCAAGAGAAACTGCAATCAAAACCAAGGCATCCACCATATGTACATTCTCCCAAGATTTTTGTGAGAAACTGCCTCAGCAATCAACCGACGAGCTTGCCCCTCCACAGCTAAAGGCAAAGATGGTGCTGCTGCAACCCCAACAACAATTCCTTGCAACCTTGCTTCAATGTTACTAATAGCACGCTGCAATTAACGAACATGCAATTCAGTAAGGGTATTAGATTACATAAGTGTCTGAGTTGTCAAATTGCACTATCTCTGTATGAGATTACGTAAGTGTACATTTGTCAACAGCTGTTAGTTCTTCCCTCCTTTCTCACAATAAACAATCATCAAGGAACAAATTCCTCCTTAGTCTCAATCCAACTTACCTTTCTTAACTCGTGCATAATAAAGATGCTAACTTCTAGAAACAGCATGAATTGCAGAAGATTTTTCTGTCAGATACTCGGTAATATTTGCACCTTTGATATCGATTTGAGTTTATCCCACCCATTGATACAGTTATAGTATTATGTGAAAAACAGGTTGATTTATTAATTTGAACTACAAGAATTCATCCTTTACCAGACAACTTCTTTCTTTTACATACTAAGCGGCAAACTCATACTTCCAAAACTAAGCCTTTTTTAAAAATTTGTTTTGGTAAAATCAACTTTTAGAGAATGATGGGAAGGGGAAATGAAAAGCATATGTCTGTCAAGCCATATCAAGGAGAAGTAACTTTCCTGAGACAAACCACCAATTTCTTCATGTAAAAGACAATCATTTTCCTTTAAGACCAAGAAACCACACATAGATGTTCAAGCCAAACCTAACTTCATTTTTGCATACTGTGCTATCAAAGAAAAGGCCAAGGAAGGAAGACACGATGGGTTATTAGCAAACTTCATCATCCTTGGGATTAGTGATTTATCTCAACTCCCAAGGATGGCCAGACTAAAAGGGGTATCAAGGATTACGGGAGAATGATGCTTTGTATATTGACTATTGAGGTATACTTTGATGCATAAGGTGACCCTGGACAATTTCCCTCCCTTTCTAGTGTGGGCCTTTGGGGATGAGTATTTTATTGCTACAGGAGATTAGATTTTTCAATACCAATTTATTCTACAAAACAGCTGAGCCAGCTTTAACACAATAAGTCAATAACATAGTAACTGAAACAGAGGTAAGATTGAGTGTGCAGAAGAAACTATCAAACCTGGGCATGGGGATTTTGAACTTCCACTCCGCTTGATTTATGAGATTTAGTCCACTCTACAAGGGGATCGTGGATAAATGTTTCAAGAACACTCATTAGTGTCTCCCTGTGAGTTCTGAGAACCGAAAGAGTGATCTCACACACCTTGAGAAAGACGCCCTCATATCCAGTGATTCCCAATCCATCCATCATATTCTGACATTCACCGCAAAGTAGCTTAAATTAGAGCATCAACTTGTCATCGGTCATAAATCATCCATGAAATTTCAGATCAAGAAATCGAAAGGCTTAACAAGGGATATCCTATTTTTGATACCAAAATACCAATAGATGATGAGAGGGAGTAAAATAAAATAAGGTAGCAGTAAAGGCACAAAAGACTACAGGACATCACTTTCTTACAAACATGCAAATACCATGCACTCCACTCACCTGGGTCAACCTGAAAGGCACAAGCTCTGGTTTCTCCAACAGCAGACCTTTGTCAAATAAGCAACTAAAATCAACATGCACACAATCCCCTGTAGTAGAATCAAAAAGGATATTTTCTCCATGTCGATCCCCGAGGCCTACAATGTGACCAACCATGGACCACACTGCAGTAGTATGTGCATAAGCAACTCTGGCTCTGAACCAGGCAGCTGGCTCAGCAAATGTAGTTAAAAACCATTTGTGGAAAACAGGGGGAAACATTGGAAGTATTTTGGTCTTCAACATCTCATCTTCTGGCATTCTCCCTTGGGATTGATCATACAATCGCTTAATCTGAGGATTCGTCTTCTGTCTGTCAAATTTTCCACACGTTATATAGATATCCTGAAGAATGTGCCGTAGACCACGAGTGTGAGGCACCCATTCCACCATTCCACAATCCTCAGTTAAAGGAATTACGGCAAAAGTGCGAATATATAGTTTTCTTCGACGGCTTTCAGCACATTTTGACAGTAAACGATTAATCATGGCATTAAATTCCATCATACGAGCATCCTTTCGTAGATCATCTTTGGGTTTACAGAGAAACGCACGCTCAATGCCATCACTTCCAACAAGAACAACCTGCACAAGCAAATTGATTATAAAATCTTGTATCTGATCAAATCTTTAAGAGCATTTCATAAATAAGGCTCAAAGGTTGAAATGTTATGCCAAGTGATTACCAAAAGGCAAAGCCCAAAGTAATCTATTCACATAATTAACTCTTAAATAAGTGCTCAGATTTCAGAGTAGATAGAATAGTATTTAATGGGTGATTTCAATCATTTAATTTAAACTTTTAACTTATGGTTGTTTTGGGAATATACGGAGCACTTACAGATAGGTTTTCTTTAAAAATCCTAATAATTATTACAAATAAGAACCAATTATTTCTCCAAAAAATAGTTAAAAAAAAAAAATCAAAAGCATTTTCCTAATATTATAAAATTTTAAAAACAAAGTAAGAGAAAACATTAATAGTTAGCAGAGTTTGAAATATCCAATTTTCAAGTATTTGATATCACTCGGGTCATGTTATAATGATGGTGGAGAGATTGATGCAGCATCACTTAAATATGGAATCAATATATACCATCATATTTATTAACTAAAGCAAGCATGGTCTGGAATGAAAGTGGAATGTGCAAGTACTTACTTTTTTGGGACGTTGAAGAGATGAAAGTATTTCAACTTCATCTGCTATTCCAGCTATTGTTGGAAGTTCAGTAGCTGAAAAGATATTAGATGAGTCTGTCAAGGGTGACTCACAAGTAGGCAAGTTAACTGTGAGAGACTGCTGAATAGGCATTATGATTCCTAGAGGCATCATTCTCTTCAGGGAACTAAATTCAGTTAAGATATTGATTGTTCTCACTTTTGATTGGCTGGCATGAAAGCACAACCTAATCAGATGATCAATTAAACTGGTAAACTGAGAAAAAAATTCATTACGACGGCTGTCTGGACTGGGCCCCTTGCGCGCAGCTTGCAAGATCTCTGCAGCTGCTTGTCTCCTTGAAGAAACAGCAGATTTAGAAACAGCCGCCATGAGCCATATAGCTTGCTGAGGATACTGCCGGAGAACAGAAGTAATGATGTGTTTGACCAATCGAACAATCTCTTCATTTTGGTGGCAGATTCTAGAAACTAACTGTGGCAGAACAGCCAGCCACTGATAAGTTGGCAAATCTTTCAGACAGCCTCGCATAATACTCATTACCTGTGTAATACATTAATAGTGATGTCAAAAGAAGATAATGAAGCATTAAACAATGTTAAATGATATTTGAGAATTCACAACCAAAATACAACCTTTCCCTGAACATTTTTTAGATCTTTATTTGATGACCCACTCTGATGATATACACTTCCAAAGTCAAACCAAAGGGTCAACAATCTTGGGAGGGCTTGGAAAAGATTCTTATGACCTCTGTGAAGGCCTTTAGCGTAAAATAAAAGTGCTTCAGGAAGATAAACCCACCAAGGCTTCTCAGCATTTGAATTATTAGAGATGATACCAGAAGCAGGTGGTATCCTTGGATTAGTATCAACATTTTCCACCTGACGTTTTCTAGCATCAACAAGAACTTCATCACAATATTTAGCAACATAGAAGTAACCTTTCTCCCACTTAGGTTGCAATTCCCTCACCCTAGAATACAGACTCATTACGTCTTCTTTCTGCTTTTGTCCAGTATAATGGATCCATCTTGAGTATAAGAGAAGGGTCTTTCCTATATTACGATTCTCATTTTGAGCTTGAGTATCACCATGCAAGGGTTGCGGATTTGGTGGAATCAAGGCAAGGCTAGTAATAGATGATATTGCAGCAGACCCAACAACTTCTATAGGCATGTTTAAGAGAGACTGCTGCAATTCAGCAATTGCACCCTCAGACCGCTTCATGCTCCATAGAAGCTTGGCTTTTTCAATATGGACATTAGGAGCGCCAGAAGAACTCGCCTCAAGAATAGCTCGATTAGCTGTCTCATAATGACCAGCAGAGCGACAAAGCTTAGCATATTGAAGCCAGCAGTCTCCAACTTGAGCACCCATTTTACTGGCACCAAAAACAAGTCTCCTGAAAGCTAAAAGTGGTTCCCTTGCCCAGAGAGATGGTTGTGTGAATTTTAGCCTATTCTCCCAGTTATCTATAACTTTCAAAAACTCTGGGTGTCCAAGATGAAAAGGTTTTTCCAGGAAAGAATGGCAACCGAGTAGATCACGAAAGTTTTCTAGCTCTCTCAAAAGATGAAGTTTTACAATAAACGGATAAGCCCGCGCATATGAGTCCATGCCAGCAGCAGCTAATGGAGCAATAAGAGCTTGCTTTGATAAAGCAATTTTCTCATCAACCACAAATCGATCTTTTTGCATAATTGCCTGAAGAATTTTAGCAACATCCATGTCAAACGAAGCATTGCTGTCAGAAATGCTACAAAGTAGGCCTTCTTTATTAGCTCCATCTAGATACTCATCCATTAGGTCCCATTTGCCAAGTCTCCACGCAGCCTGCACCCCTTGCATGCACCATGTTTTCCTATATTGAGGAATTCTAGATATTAGGCCATCCACATGGGTAACCATTGTCTGAAGATGGCACATATTAAGTAAGCAATAGAGAACATCTGAATGCCTTTGAACTGAGGTAGATTCCATCTGCAAAGCTTGTTCACAAGAAGTCAGGACCTCTGCCCAGTTTCCAGCTTTTTTGTTTATTAGCAGCTGATCTTGTAAACTTACTGACTTTCTTAAGCTAGCCAACCCTGATAAACCATCAGGTTCATCAATACCACTATAGATTTCCATCAGGAATGAAATGTCTTCATCCTCAAAGATGCCACTCCTCTCAGCTGCTGGGTTAAACGAACCTGATTTTACCCGAACATGCGATTCAAAGTACATCAATGATCTAGCATAAGCCTGGCACCTAAAGGATGCCCTTGCTAGGGTCACCTTTGGAATTGCATCCAAAAGCTCAGAAACATATTTGCATTGTGCACGAAGTTTGTCCCTATCAGTTGCAGAGTTGCTAGTTGTGTTGCTTAACTTGGAAGCTTCTTTAGAGGAAACAAATGGAGAGTGGGAAAGTGCTATTTCTTGACCCACATCATCAACCCATTGTCCCATATTATCAAGCAGAGTAAAAACAGCTTGGATACAAATCTCACCTTGCCCACCACCAATTACAAGAACTGCAGCACCACTATTCTCTGAGGCAGCTGCATCCAGGACAGACAATATCTCTCCTGTAATACCGGAGCGGGCTACCTCTGAACCATGGCAAACAACATCAAGAACTAAATAAGGTAGCAAATATGTTGCTGTTTGCATATCATGGCGCATTATTTCACGACAAGCCTTGAAAATGCTTGCACGAGATCCGGTAGCGTCCACAATCAGTTTTTTAATCCAACGAAAGATCCAATTCCTGAATGACAAAGAAGGTTGATATATAGCACCAGAAGAGGAAGATTCTGATGAATCGGAAAGTTGAAACCGAGAAATTAAGCATGGTGCAATGATCTCCTTAACATAGTCAGAAAATCGGTCCCACAACCGTTGACCCCTTTCACTCATCACTTGACAATCATTAGAGCCCTTAGACCCCAGTACACCAACTTTCAGCATCTGTGACAAAGAGGCCACAGCATTGCATCCAGCAATTTTTAGCAGCTCCTGAATAGCAAATGCAGCAGCATCTTGGATGTTAGCATCAGGGGCTGCTCTGAATGCCCTGGCGAGGTGCTTATGGATCAGTTCAAAGATCAAATCATCATCAGAGCACTGGATTTTGAATCTTTGACATGGTGCTGCCTTTACCTTAGCAGGATCAACAGCACCTAGAGCGCCAAGACAGTCCGCACACACCATTTTTAACCTCTGCCCAACTGAAGTCCGTGATTCTTCAGAACATCCTCTCAATAAAGATGTAATCAGAGAGCTTAAAACAGTAACATCTAAACCCATTTCTGTGCCAATTGTTGCTGCTACATCCTCATTCCTAAGGTTCAGTAGTTTGCTTAGTTCACAAGCAACCATATACCTTACATTTAAGTTTTCATGATTCAGGCCATCAGCGGCATCTCGCAATTGATCCTTCAAAGTCATTGACCCTCGTGCTTCTTGTATCACTTGATTTACCTTTATTAACGCAGGAATGCTGGGCAACAGAGGAAATTCACGAATGTGCTGCTTTAGTATATCCTTATTTTCACACACAAGCTCTTCTATAACATCAACAATTTTATCCAAATGCATAGAAGGCTTGTCTTTTTCTTTCTCCAAAAAGGGAATTAGAGCAGAAAAAACTTGAAATATGACATGCTTGGCACTAGATGGTGACAGCATTGCCAGCTGCTTGATGAAGAAATGTAACACAGCGAGACCTTCACCTCGCAGGGATTCCTTCTCAATCGCATGCATGAGAAGCACCATAAGTTTTGGTACATAGGTACTTAGGTGAGGACCCATCAACTTAATCAACAATTCTATTCTTTTAATAGCTTGCTTCTGCCAAGAGATGTCCTTTGCCTGGAGCATTTTCGTATCAATTCTTTTGAGAATGACAACAAAATAATTCTTCAAGAAGCTAGGAAGATCTTCACTTCCCGTCAAAGTTTTTGCAACTTCTTCTATCATTTGTGGTACTCTTCCCAACCTGTCAACGAATATAAGAAAGTTACACAATGAAATAAAGATGAACATGAATAATACAGGATAGTTTATATCATATTTCTGTGATATACTAAATCATGAGAACTTATTCTAGAATGAGAAAAAAGGTAAGGATAATTGGCATATATGCACAATATCTTGTACTACACTAGAATTGCATGTGAAGCCTCGCATAAAGCAAAGTAAAATAAAAAAGAAACCTATGTTACTCGGACTCTACATTTCACCTCAAGTACTTGTATCAGATCCACGAAACTCTGACATGGGTATAGACACTATGAACATTCATTTTAGGCCGAAAACAAGTGCAGATTTCACAAAATTGTGGAGTCTGACTGAACAAGCACCGAAGTCCGATACAAGTACCTGGCTCCAAGTAGCACAGATCTCAATAGCCATAGATTGGAATGATATAAAGGAGGCATCCACCAAGATTTACAAACCAAAATACATACTTTTGGCTAATCTCTTCTGGGTCATTTCCATCCACAAAGCACACTAATTCCTCCAATAAATCAGGTAATGAAGCAGCAAATAATTGTTGCTTGTCTGATTCTATTTGCTCGTGGTAAAATTGCAAAACAGAGAGCAATTTTTTGCCATCAGATTGCTGAAGAGCATAAGCAAGTACTTTCGGTAGCCAGCGAACAATCATATTCACCATATTTGTGTCCGAGTAGTTGGCAAGCTCATGCAAAATAGCAACTGATTGTTCGTCATTCTTTTGGGCGACAACAAGCTTTGGGAGAACAACCGGAATCATTTTGAGGACCAGCTTCTTGGTTTCAATACCATGAACAGCCTCGGCAAATTCCCTCACCATTTCTGAACGGTTTACAAGCCGTAGGCAAAGATACTCAAATAACTCATTTCGAATATGAGTGAACTTTGAAAGGACTAGTTCAACTCCTCCTTGAAGATGAAAGTAGCAAGACCGATCAATTAACCTTGCAGCAGTCACTCTAACAGTCAGATGGGGATTGTCAAGTTTGTCAACTAGCAAAATAAGCGAAGCTAAGAAAAGCTGACAGTTTATATCCACTGCCATCATAATCTCAGCAGCTGACTCCAATAAAGTTTCAACAATTTGGGGGTCTTCAGTTGTTGCAAGTGCTTTTACTATTTTATCAAAAAACATCTGTCTTTTACTTGCATTAGGCATCTCCATCTCTGGAAACAGACAAATTAAAATATTATCATCCAGAAAGAACCTGAGCTGAGAGCAGAATGCTTCCCTCAAAGACCTCTTTTTATGGAGGAGCAGGAATTCAATACATTTAATCCATTGGGCTCTTGTTTCTAGAAGAACTTTTCTCTCTGCATGCATGATGATTCGGTGAAATATTGTTACACAGGAAACTTGGACCTCTTCGGAAGACTCATCAAAAAGAAAGTTGAAGAACAATGAATGTATGTAGCCAAAGTCACACAAAGCAGTGTCCTTTATACATATATTATCCGGGACATGCATGACAAATGAATTCCGAGCATCAGCATGAACAACCTTTTTATCACACTTCGCACACCAAAATCCTTGAAATAAAGAATCCAGCATCAGATTGTGCTTTTCATCGCTATGAAAGGAAATTTTGCAACCATGTGCACTCCTACCATCAGAATTATGACAAAATTCTGTCAGGCATGACAAATATCCTAAAGAAAAAGGAATTACTTTTCTGACATTCTCATGCACCTCTTCCCCAAGATACCTACAAATTGAGAAACAAATAGCAAACAGTAGCAATATTAGCATTTCCTTGTATATAAGGTCTTCAAAAGCAGACTCAATTGTAGCTACAATCCACAGTGGACATTAGGATACTTTTTATTAAAGACATCAGTATGCTTTGTTCATGAGGAGAGAATTTTTTTTTTAAAAAAAAAAAAAAAAAGGGAAAGAAGGATTAAAGGCAATCATCTGTGCCTGTAAGAGACAACATCCAGTTTCAGATCATATGCAAGCACAAAACATCCTTCACTTACTTGAGCCATGTTAAAATAGATGAGAGTGCACAAAAATCAGATGACATGACAATAATTGGCATAGCCATGACAGCCTCCATCCTGACTTTTTCCACTGCATCATGAAGTCCCAAATTCAAAACATCAAGTTGAAGTTCTAACTTGGGACCGATCAGAGACAAGATTTGAATGGAAAGGCATTTAGTTCTCCATGGCTGATGGGTTTTGACCACCTCAAGATGATGAGTCCATGGAAGCTTGAGCACAGAAAAGATAAGATCCATGTTACAACTGTCATTGCAAAAGTGCTTCACATTTTCAAGAAAGGGACCTAAATATAAAGTTACCAAAACATCAAAAGTCAAGAAATAATTGTTAAAAGCAAACTGAATTTGACGAAACATAATGCAAAAGACTACATGGAAAAAGCACCTGTATTCAGTAGACAGAGAAAGAACAAGATAATATAAATAAATTAAAAAAAAAAGTATGTTTCATTTAGATGTCACGCGACAATAAATAACATTACAGCAAACCTACAGCCAAATTCACAAACAAGGATTTAAAAAGAGCAATGATAATCAGTTCTTAGGAGGATATTGAGTAAACAATTGATGTATCTACATTACCTAACTATGGAGTGAAGAGGTAAATGTTATATATCATAGAATCATAGATAGATCAGAAAATATGTATGTATAGCAAAACCCAGATTATTAAAAATAAATAAATAACTAAATAAATAAATAAAAGATTCAGCCTAGCAATGCATACAGAACATGCATGAGATTAACACGAGATTAAATGTCCAAGTGCAGGTTGAAATCTTCTTTAACAAAAGCAAACAGCTTTGATTATTATGGTTTAGAGCTTAATATTCTAAAAGGAAGAGCATACTCTTAAATTTCCTCCACAAAGATAGTACTTCCTTGGTTCTTTTTTCACTTGACCTACTTTTACTTTTACACTATTCAAATCCCCACCATTGACTGTCTTTTGTGAGTTATATGTAAGGAAAAACATATTTATGTGGGATCTTCTTAGAATTCCATCTCTATTAATACTTTCATAATATCTGATTTTACTCACTGAGAATTAAAGCTATTTATGGTTAGAGTTATGCATTGGCAAGCGTGATAAATGAAACAGGTAAAGTAAATAAGAGAACGAAGGAAGTACATTTTTTTTTTCTTACTTGGCAATAACAATGTTTTGTGTAATGCTTCAAAATAGCTTGACAAGTCAATTCGGATAGAATTCTCATGATTTGCCTACATGAGAGACATTGTATCAGACTCGGAAATAATGATTCCAAGAGGTAGCAACCAATGGTGATACAAGACCTAACTTCATCCTACTTCATACCTGCTGGAAAATCCATGGGATCCACAAATATATCAGCTCAAAAATTTTTGCTGATATATTGGTGTTTGGGTATTTGCAGAAGACCGTGCAAAACATGCTAAGAGTTGCTAGAGCAAGTTCATCTCTGGTAGCCTTTGTATGAAGACCTGAAGGTTTCAGAGATTCAACAGCTGAAAGAAGTGATGTGCACATATCAGCAGTGTATTCTCTGTTTGTCTCCAAATTAAGGTGAAAACACCGATCCTCTCTCTTCCCAACAAAATCAGATGTGACCTCTTCTCCATTTGTCTTCTGGCGCTTTAACTTGGAAGTCCCTAAATCCTCTGCTGGTCTTTTACAATCTACTCTGAACCTATCTGATCTATTGTCACATGCTGCTAAATGACAACTCGTAGTATCACTAATGGTGCCTCCCCCAAGGGCCCCAACCCTATCAGGACCAAGAATAGAAATAGCCACCTCAAAGCAATCTTGTAGCATTAAGCAAACACTTGAGGAACAAATCATATTTAGTAGAGATTTTGGCTTCCAGACACGAGGATGACAAATTCTACAGACTCGGATATACGCACTACACAGGGCAGCCTGTCAAACAACATACAAATAATATTTTTCAAACCAAGAGGCCGTGTATGAGTCAAAATATCTTCCAATTTGTCTTGTAAGGAAAAAGGCGATAAATTAGGAGAAAAGGGGGTTAATCTTGACCTGTAACTCGGAACTTTTAGTTTTTGGAAGAGAGTTAAAGAACACAATAACTAATTCAGCAGCTGTTGATCTAACAATGTTAGCAGGGCACCTGGAATGCAGAACATCAAGACAGCTACCTATAGTGGAGTCAAAAGCCATGTTTCTGCAAGGAAAAACAACATATTTTCTAAGGCAAAGAACAATGGAACATTTGATATGCTTATATCAGAATAGAAGTCCATTTAAGAATGATATGCTATTTGTTAAAGAACAAATAAAGAATAACTATTACCAGGAAAGAGGCACATACACAAATGAGACTTAAGTGGGTAATAGGTGATGGCACCTACCTATGTTACTCAGACAAGGATTAAGTGTCTACTCGGATTTGGGTGTCCAAGCGTTGGACTATGCTATTTTGTATTAAAAGTCAAATTTTTAGTTGATAATGAAGTATCCAAGTGTCGTCTACACGACAAGCAATTTTTGAGGTAAATCAAGGTGTCAAAGAAACATAGGGTGAAGGTTATGTTTGCACAAATATATGTCCGCTTGTTTCTCAAGTATTCTACTATATCCTCAACAGCTAATCTCAAGTACTGAGGCATTTGATCCTTCACATCAACCGAACTGTCATAAATAACCAGCAGAATAAATATTTTGTATCCACAAACCATCAAATACTTAATACTCCAAGTTAAATGGTGCATTTCCTCTCTGTGCTTTACATGCACAAGAAATAAAATATTTAAATTCATCTTCTATCATAAATCCTGACTTTACACCTGACTCCTTTAATAATGATACTTACAAAAAGTACTGCGACGGAAAGCTGGAATTTTCTGGGAGACTAGGAGATTTGTCAACCATCTATAATATGAAACAAGTCATAGGAACAGGTGGAAAATAGGTCAAGGCAAGTAGTGTAGATAACTTTAATATTTGAACAATAAAGAAACTATATCATAATTCTGAGATTTAGCCATCTGTTGAGAGAAAATCACTGGCATCCTGGCCTGGACTGGTCAGTCAGTGGCTGCTATGTTTGTTTCATTAGTAACAAAACTCCAAAGAGAAACAGAAATTTCAGATAATTAATATATTGGCATAAGATTCAATAATACAGACTGTCTATTATGGTATTACCTTTTCTCGTCCTAAACAATCATGAAATAACTTCCTATATGAAAACAGGTGGCTGGAATTGAAGGCTCTTTTTTCACAAGTAAAGGATTTCAAAGGAGCAACACCTAAATTAAAAAAGAGCAAAAACTTTACAGGATTCCACAAGGAAACAATTAAAATAAGGCAAAAGCTTCAAAACTAATGCCCACTTCTACAAATATTTTGACACATCAATCTTAAGGAAGCCAGAGACTGATTTTTCAAACTTCACGCTAAAAATCATACCTGAAAACAGGAAGGTTTCCATCAGCTTCGCTTAATATGATTATCATGGAAAAAATTAGTTTCTCATATGGAACAATCTCATAGTTCATCGCCATTCCAGCAATCCGAGCGAAATCAAAACATGCCTACCATAAAACATGATTAATAGCCATACTAGAATGAGACCATGTATAGAAGAAACCAATTTCAAGAAAGGGAAAAGTGAACAAATGTCAAATAGAAGAAGGTGCCACCAACCATATGCAAATCAGCATCCTCATAGCTTAACATGGAGCACACAGACAAAATTATAGAAGAGGTCACAAGTCCTTCCACATAAAGAGTTCCCTCTGTCAAGCATTTACTTAGGAGCCAAATGATCCAAGTAGAAAATAATTTCCACCTCTCCTTTAGCGTGAGATCAACTAAAATACCATACCCATCGCCAGGCTTGTTACATTCTGGGAGATCACCGAGTAATGCTCCACCATTATAAATTTCGGTAAATGACTTTGAAAAGCATTTAAGAGACACTTGAGCAGATTCTATAATGCTTGATTTGCGGTAGTGTAGTGATCCTACATACCCAAGATCTGTACCATAAGAAACCTAATTTAGAAAATGAAAGTAACTTGTAAAATTGGCATGAATAGCATCTAAAATATTGTTTTCTTCCGATACCTTGAATATGTTAGCATGTGGGGAACATAACTAGAAACCCACAACTTCAATAAACTTGTACTAATTTACAATATAAGCCTATATGTATGGGAGGGGAAGGGTAATTTGGAAAGAAGCAACAGAAAAGCAGCAAACCCATAAAGTGCTCCCTCTATCTATTTTTTGTTCTACCTTTTCAATCTCTCCTTTATTTTATTTTATTTTTATTTTTTTTTATCTTTCTGTGTTCCTACTATACTGTTTTAGGTCACGATATCTCCCCTCTTTCCGAAAATCCCACAATATAAAACCCACTTAAACCTACTAACCCCAACAACTTCTTAATATGCTTAGAGTTAAAGATAGACAGATGCCAGCCTAGTTTGACTTGGACGTGTATCCAATATGACTAGTGAGGAAGAATCAAAAAGAAAAAACTTAACTCATATACAAAGGGTCGTGGAATAAAGGCACAATTAACAGTTTCCAATTAGTTTAACCTTGGCAAACCACATTCCAGATATGTCATTGTTGATATGATTTGCATGCTTCTGTTCTCTATAATCAATGTTAGACAAGTTAAAGTGAAGAGTAAAGAATTACACTCCCATAGTCATTCTTAATACTAGCACACATTGCATACCAACACAGGATAAAATAATATCTTTGAAACCCAACGATCAAAGTGAGGCCCACCCATGGTACAGATGTCCAACTTTCAAATTCTGCAAATCAGTAACTACTGATTTCCATTTTGGCATGCAATAATCCATACTAAACTAAAGAAAGAGTAAAATAATCATCAAACAAAAACAAAAAAAGAATCGCAATATCTATATACCTTCTATTAACAACATGGCATCCAGGAAAAACTGACGATATGCATCTTGATCCCCACTTCGAAGCAATGCTAGAAGAGAGCCGATGGTTTCAAGAATCACTCCATGTCGGTCCCTGTGTAGTTCTTATTAATTCTCCAACAAGAGACCAATGAATAAATGACAGTATGACACCCCAAAGGCACTAGGCACTAGCCTAGGGTAAAGGGATTTTAAAAAAAAAAAAATTCAAAACAGCTCCTTATCTAGTTTCCTTCATGGAGAAATTTGGATCTACGCCACAGCAAAACAGTATGGAAATGAACAAAAAAATCTTTTGCTTCGTAATACTAGAGCTTGACATGTCCATTTACTCAAAGACAAAAAAAATTATTAAAAAAAAAAAAACAGCATCCTTTTTGATATTATGCTCATATTTACCAATATCATCCAAAAAGCAACTAACATTCCAAAATTGTCCCACATTGGTTATGTAAGTATTAATAACAAGGCACGCCTAAGACCTGAGGTCCATTGGACACCATACAGGCATACACATAGATGCATTATTGGAAAATTACCACAAAAATTGAAGGCATCTCCACTTGCATTAATCAGTATTATAAAATACATTCCTCATAAACTTCATAATTTATACAGCTATAACTCATCAAATGATAAAAAGTTAGACACCAAGCCTCAAAATTAAACAATACACAACCCTTTTTTTTCAGCATTCGCAACGAATTCCTCGACTTACAGCTCACAAATCAATCAAATTCATCAGCACATTGAAAAAAATGTGTCCAAATATTTAGTGACCTAATTTAGAAGCTTACAGTAAACAAAGTCCAACATACAAGCTTTTAGTACTTCATATAAGTCAAAATATCCAAAAATAGCATTCAAAATATTGAATTCAAGCAACTTATTAAATTAAAGAAACTAAAATTCTCGGTACCGGAAAGTCGGCTCAGCAAAGAACGGCAAGAGACGGCCAATAACCGGCAAAATTGCATTCGATTTTCCGTGGTAGAAAACGCCAGGAAAATTCTTGGCGGTATGATTTAACAACTTTAATACTGCAATTACTTCTCTCTCATTTGCTGCACCAAAAAATCAAGAAATTGCATCAGATTGATGATTAATTTCTGGTAAAATCGAAAACCCTAGGTGAAATTGATGGTTAATTTCTGGTAAAATTCGATTTCAGAGGAGAGAGAAAGTGAACCTGAAGGAGAAGCGATGACGTAGGCGTTGAGGAGATTAGGGAGAACGGAGCGGAATCTGGTTTCCAAAGCGACGTCGTCTCGTTTGTTGTTGGTAGGTGTTGAAGAAGAAGCTGCGAATCTTTCTCGGAGTTCGTGTACCAAGCTTGAGATGCTGGCCATGGCGTCGCTTTTTCTCTCTCTTCTGTAGCTTCTAGTGTCAGAGACGAAGACGAAGACGACGAAGAACAAGTTGTGTTTTCATTTTCTTTTTAATTATTTTTTCCCTCTTTGTTTCGAATGTGTGTCGCGCTATGTGATTTTCCCTCTTCTTACGGCCCTATTTGGTAATAGCGTTTGAGGTAGCGGTTAGCGTTTTAACCAGTTAAAATAATATTAGGAAAAATCTGAGAGTATTTGGCAAGATAGTGATTTTAGTAGCGATAGAGGTAGCTTTTCTCAAACGTCAAAAATAGTAGCGTTTAGAAGTAGCGGGTAGCATTTGACAATTTTTTTATTACTTTTTAAACATTACAACCGCTACTTTTACCAAGCACTCATACTATCAACCGTTACTTTGACAACTAACCTCTACCCATTACTAATTGACCGTTACTCACTACCTTAACAGTTACCCGCTACTCAACCGCTAAAGCTACCCGCTACCGCTATTTTTGTCAAACACGACCTAATTCAATAAAGAGTACTATGTACTACTTGCTTGATTTTGTAATCGAGTGCATCATTTTAATCGGCATATATGTCAAATTAGATAGTTATAGACTTTGTTCACTTCACTATAATTAAATAATACGAAATATTAAATATAATTTCAGTTTAGTAAACATAATTTTAATTCAGCAAAATTCAGTAACTTTAAAGAAAAAAATATAATAGAAAATCATTAAAAATAATTTAGTTCAATAAAAATAATTTCATTTCAACAAAAAATTAAGGTGAAGTGAACGGGTGTCTTACTTGTACTCTGTATTAATTATAATAAAATAATCAAAATAAAAATTAACACGGAGTAATATACTTACTTTATAAAGCACGCATTGTAGAAAGTCAAAATGATGCACTTAAAAAAATTCAAAATGCTTAAGGTAAGAATGTGAACATGGATGCAGATGTCAATTAGATTAATTATTTAAAGTCTTAAAGGTGATATCCAAGACATGAGATTAAATCGTTCCATATTGTATAAGACTATAGATAAAATGAAGACCAAGAGTATATGCACTAATAATCTAATTATAAACCATGAAAAGAAGTATGCAAGAAAGGCAATGGCAAAATTAAATACAAATTGTTTACTTGTTTACAAGAAGACATAGGATTAAATAGATTACAACAAAAGATTTCGCATTTAATCATCAATCATTTCCTAAGAGAGCACAAAATAAAGTTAACCAAAATTACACCCCACTATAATTTTATGATCTTCAATGATGAGCAACCTCCTTAGCTCCTTCAGCAATAAAAGGATCGGCACCCATGTTAGAAGGAGGGAAGAACACAGGAGGCATGGAATTAACATTAACATTCATAGGATAGTCGCGGTACTCTATATCCAACTCTCTGAAGATCTTTACACATTCTTCTATCAATTGAGCGCGTCTTACCCATCTTTCTCCCATGTCTTGATGGTTCATTCTGTGTGTCACCCATATTGCTATCCTCAACATGTATAGATTTTCCGCGTCTTTCACAACTATCATTGGGTCTGGATACCAATGTTCCTTCTTGTTCACAATGTAGCTGCACAAAAAATTATAAGAATAATTAGCATACTTTGTATAACTACAAAAACAAATTTAATTTAGCTTCGATAACAAATTTTATTTACCTAGTTATTCTTTGTCGAATAAGTGTAACTTTCTCTGGAGGAGTAGCAACATGAAGGCAGAATTCGACAGCATCTCCCATATCTGGGCTACGATAGTAGTTATGAATGGGCTTCGATATAAGAATGTAGTTCGGATACATGATCTTTTGGTTGTCGTATCTTAAGAAAACTGTGGTTAAAATGTTCATTTCTTCCACAACCATCTGCAAATGAGGAAATCGAAGTTGATTAAAAAAAATTAATGTATTGTAGACATGAATATTAAGCAAGTTTGATATATTTCTAGTGTTTATTTATACCTGAACTCCATCGATTTCACAACGATCACCAACATCGAAGGGGAGTATAACAAACAAGAAGATGATGGACTCAAAAGACATTCTTACAAGTGTTACCAAAAACAAAAGCCACAACAATAAGTTGAGAGCTTAGGAATAAGATGGACTTTGAAGGTATGATGTTAAGCACGATTACAGCAATCAGAATTATGATTACGCTCACTAAAACATCCACCATCTTGTGTAGCTTGTTAACCGCTGTTTTCGTGTCACTAAGAGTTAAAGCCAGAGCTCTTCGTTCACCAAATGCATTAACCTGTGAATGAAGTTGATTGTAAGAAGATACGATGAAATTTAATCGTCACAAAACTTTAAGCAATTGATAATAAGGCCTATGGGTTTTATTAGTGAGTGTTCTTACCACCCAATTCTTCAATGCCGACTTGCTTATTCTTCCAGCTTCAGAAGCTCCTTCAAAAAGACTCATTGTTTTAAATGCCTCGTCTTCTTGCATGAATCGCATAAGGTCATTCAAATATATGTACCTGAAATTACATTCATATACAGGTAAGATTTTAATCAACTGAACTAAGCTACTGTATATTGATGTGGACTACATCAAGGAACTATTTAATTCGTGATTTTGTTAAAGGGGGAACTAATTAATAAAGGAAACAAGTAATGAGGAACCAATTAATGTAGAGAAAATGTAAAGAACACTAGAAATTTTAAGCAACTTCTTATATGTGGTACTTACCTAGACCTTGGTCTAGCAACATTGCGAAATATTTTCTTTGCTGCAGCTTTAGCCTCAACCTCGCTCCTAATTTGTGTCGTGGACTCGTCTTCATGAGTCGTATTAGTATTCTCTATACGTTCATCTAATGTAGTCAAAAACCCGTGTCTTACAATTCTTATCAATCGTTTCATATTCCAAGCAGAGACATTTTTTTTGGTTTAGCCTATGCAACCGATCAATTGGTATACCTTCGTCATGATACTTCCTACCAATTGGCCCTGAAAGGCCTACACTTTGTCTCACGGGACTCTTGATGGGTTGCGACACGGTCCCTGTCCCGAGAGTCTTACTGTTCTGGCTATATAGATGCTGCAAACCTATGGTTGCACTCTTACTTCTTTCGAGAACAGATGATTTAAGGTCAATTGGAATATTGATGCCGGCATTTTGTAGCATTTGTACCTCGGCCAATGCCCTCTCCTCTTCTTCTCGAGCACTTCTTAAGTCGAACAAAGGAGGGGCTGAAAGTGTCTCGATCACAAATTGATTGAACAATGACTCTTGAATCCTATCAAAGAACGCGTTCACATGGAACGTCGATGCACAAACCTTAACCATTAAGGTCTTTAACAGCCATAGAACAGCACCCCCTTCACATATGACCAAGAGTTTTGAGACAGTCTTAAGAGGCTTAGTCGTAGCTCGAGTTGCAACTTTATTGTCAAAAATGCAATGCCAAGTTAAGATAAGAAGCCCTAACCAGATAACATTTTGGACCGCCTTCTTCAAACCATATACAAAGTACAAAACCCGCTTTCTAAGCAAGAAATTCCTCTCAATGAAGAACACAAGAACTTTAATCACCCAACCCGAAACCAACCTCCCGGAAATGAGTGAAAACACAAAAACTTCCCATTTCCACAACTTTAGCCTCCATATAGATTTATGCCTTAAACCAGGAATAACAAGGCTACAAACTAAAGAACCTATCAAAATAACAAGGCTCACCCATTCAAGAATTAGTATGGTACTAATTTGTCCCCTTTTGTACTCCTCTGGAAGGTCATCCTCCAAGAAAGGATCCTCCTCCTCCTCATCACCAATCGACGATTTCCCAAGCAAACCCGACTTATTATTATCATTGTTGTGGTTGTTGCTGTTGCTGTTGTTCAAGATTTGGCCCGACTTTGGAATAACCCCTGACGCGGACCTTTGATCAAATGGAGTAGGAGGAGGATCCATAAGCCTAGACCTTGTCTTAGCTATGGAAACCGTACTACTCATCTTCCTCGACGAAGAATTTGATGTACACCTTATAACCTCATTCAAATCATCCCCTCGATCATGATTACTACTACTGTTAGCATTGTTCATCATCTCCCTCTCCTTTAAGTTAGTATTGTTAGAATTGTTGTTCGAATTTCTAGATCTCCTCCTATGAACACTCACCCCACCACCCCCCATAACTCTCGTTGTTGATCCAATTTCTTCATCATAAACATCATGGTGACTATTATTCCCATCATGATCACCCGCCTTCGAGGAGGAGGCATCATCATCATTGTCGTCGTCGTCATCATCAACCTCAGATGAAGATTGCCTTATCATATTCGGGTGGTTGTCCGGATTAAACGACTCTTGGAACGAAACACGTGTCTCCCTCGACGCAGCATCCATGTTATTATTGCTACTAATACTATTGCTACGGGTGTTCAACATTGGGGTTAACTTATTTCCATTACCATTAACAATATCCGGACTTTGAATATCGCTTCGATAACTCAAACTCTGCCTCGATAAACAATCAGGAGGCAAAGGTGGCAAACCTTGTAATACTTGTCGTCGAATACTATGATTTTCATGATGTGAATTCATATATTTGTTGTTGTTGTTGTTGTTGCAATTGTTGTTGGTGTTGTTGTTGTTGTTGTTGGCGTCTTAGATGATCATCTTCCATGTCTACCTCATCTATGTCGATATTTACGGACAATTCGCCGGACATGTTATGTCGTCGTTGTAGGCCTTGTAGCTCTTGTTCTTGCTCCAAGAACTTACCTATCAATGAATCCGAAGGCGACAACGTGGGGTCGTCCACGGCTGCTTGTCTGAAGGAGAATTCTGCCATGGCGGAAAAGGGAGGACGTCCAATTTTATTCTCTTCACCTTCCTTATGATACAAAGAGGTAATATTACCATTATTAAAAGTTGTATTGCTTTGTATGATGTCGTCTGAGGAGTCGACTTTTATGATGACTTGGTGGTCACCTGGAGGGATAGAGGTCATAGGATGATGGCCTGTACAATCATCGTGTTCGTCGTGGCGGTGATGATGATGATGATGAGGAGGAGGGAGGATGGGGTGAGGTTCACCAATGGAAGGAGAAGAAGAAGAGGAGAAGATGCTTTGACAGCTATGGCGTTTGAAAGGGAAGGATATTGATTTTCTCAAGGAAAACTCCATTTTTAGAAAACAAATTCTATACCTATAATTACAACAAAATACAAGTGGGTTAAAATTTCAAAGGACAGGTAAGATAGATTGTGTTTGCTAAATTTGGGGAAAATATAGTTGAAATTAAAAAAGAATTAGGAATTTAGGAGTTTTTATTTTTGTATTTGGGATGTTT